ACACTGGTGGAGGCAGCTACAGTTGTAGCCACAGCTGCCCTGGGGCAGACTGACAGAAGCGAGGCTGCTATATTGCACCATCGGCCCCTCTGGCCATCACCAGTAGGTGAAGTGTCTTGCCCAAGGACACAACGACCGCGACTGTCCGAGCCGGGGGCTCGAATCGGCAACCTTCCGGTTACAAGACGAACACCTAACTCTTTGAGCCACGATCGCCCGTTGATAAAGCCCAGCCATTTTCTCCGACGTGACTTCCTGTCAGGATTTGTGTTGTGTGGAGGCGAGGAAGTGACCCAAACGCAGGACTCGTGGATAGTGAAGAACGGAAGATTGTTTATTACGAAGAGTGGATGAAGAGGGCAGGAACGAAAGGACTGACTGGCTGAAAGACTGGATGGCTGGCTGAACTGAACGCAGGCAGAAACGACAATATAACATCAACGACACAACAGTGAACAAGTGGAAACAGAGGACTTAAATACACAGACTGATAAGGATGATAATGAGAGACCGGTGAGTACACAGCTGAACATAATCTGACTAACGACACAAGAGAGACGAGCTGACACAGGAAAAGCAGGAAGTGAGAACATTGATGTGGCAACATAAACTAAACGTGACAAAACTGAAAGCACTGGGTCAAAGACCCAGGAACCCTGACACCCCCCCACAGTTTCTCCAGCACAGCACAGGTGTAGCACTGAATTTAGACTTTTGTTTAGGTCCTATGAAAAAAACATATAATTCAATTCAATTCAAATAAACTTTATTGATCCCGAAGGTTGACCCCGAAGGAAATTGGGTTAAGGCTGCCTGTATAAAACCCCTGTGATTTGTGTATATAGACTGTTCCACGGACCCCCTCTAACCACTGCTAAGATGGTACATTCCTCCCATCCCTTGTTTTGTGTTTGCGCTGGTTCACTGTGATAGCGCTGGTGGAGCTGGGCTGTTGTACTGAACATGTGTCGTGCGTGTGCGTGAATGATAAGTAAGTGCCTTATATTTGTTTGTTCTATGGTTGTAACTTATCATATACTTGCCTATGTACATTGTGTGATGCTTTTATAGAGTTTTCCAGCAGTTTGTGTAGCCACGAGTCACTGTATATTCGCGTTGATTTGACCAAAATGGCGCTACCCTTGTGAACTGAGCTGCCCAAAGTAAAGATGGAGTCTATCCCTGTGCAGCAGCCCATTTGTGTCCACCAGGGGATGGGGTTTAGTCAATTTCGAATTAGATTTCTGTTCAACCCTTTCTATATTATTTAGACCAGTTTGGTTGACTTTAATTGTTTGCTAATTGTAATTTCTGTTATTTTACAGAACCACACACTTACATATACTCACACGAATTCACTCCTGGAGATGTTTTGGATTAAAGGAACCTAAACTATCATTGCTGTGGACCCTCTCTTTCATCATATAAGTCACCTGTGCCTTCTGACCGAGGATAGGAAAAT